ACACAGAGAATATATAATAAATGGCTTCACTCCAATCACATAAAAACTATCTATCAAAATGGGAAAACACTCAAAAGGCAGATATCATCAGAACAGATTAAAAGCAGGATCTAATTACGTGATCTCTACAAGAAACACACTTTAAATACAGACTTTCTCACTAGTAATCCTAGTCTAAAATAAGGTAGAGAAAAGGAACTCAAAGGTAATAACCAAGATGCATGAAGAGTTACAGGAAAAGTCAATATGTCAATATAAATAAATATTTAACTATGTAACAAAAATAAACAAATAACTGCAAGATCATAGATAAGCAGAGAGTAAATGGATAAAGAAGATCTGCTATGCAAAGAGTAAGTATAAAAATGATGAAGTGGCTACAATAATATCTGATTTTAAAACAGTCTTTAAGACACTTAGTATTGCCAAAGATAATGAGAAATATTTTATAATGAAAATAGGCTCATTTTTTAGAAGAAATTCTGATTGTCAATGTGCCTAAATCTAACAGAAGACTCTCAAAATGCATCAAATAAAAATTAACAAAATTAAAGTGAGTACTAGAAAATCTCATAATAATATATTTTAACAACTGCCTCAGTAACTATTATAAAACTAGATAATAGTCAGTAAAGACATACTATGCTAATACATTAGGATATTATATTTATAGAAACTACAAATAGAATTCTTTTCAAGAGCACATGGTACATTCACAAAGATAAGTCAGAGTTTAGCCCATAAAATAAATCTCTATATATTTATAAGAATTCAAATTAAAGACAGTAGTTTCTTTTAATTAAAATTAAGTTATATATTTAGAAAAGCACAAAATATTTGAAAATGAGCCAATGTAACCTCTAACATATTCATGGGTTTTTCAACAAGAAAAATTAGAAAGTATCTCTGGATGATAATAGAAATATAACATATTAATGTCTGTGTGACGTGGCAAAATGAGTTATCATAAGAAAATCTATAACTCTAAATGCTTCTATTAGGAAATTAGGGAAAAAAAACTATAATCAAAACCTTGGGTTCCACTTTAAGCAGTCAAAAAAGAAGAAAATCCAACTCAAAGTAAGTAGAGGAAGAAATAACACAGAAAAGAGTAGAAATCAACTAAACAGTAATCAGAAAATTAGTCAAATTAAAAGAACACATGTTCTCACCAAAACTGACAAAATTGATGAGATCATCAACAACAGCAACAAAAAAATAAGGACACAGATCACCATTATTAGGGAAAAAAAAAAGACGAAACTGTCTTACCATTATTAAAGGGCAATAAGGGAATATCAGTAGCAACTTTATACCTTCAGATACAACTTAAATAAACTTCACATATCTCTTGAAAAATATAACTTACCAATTAAATTAAACCAAAGAAAAAAATATAAGTAAATCAATACTGATAAAACAAATAATTTAAAGAACTTTCCCACCTAGAAATAGATAACCTGTCCCACATGAATTCCTTCATAAACCCCATCATACTTTTAAGGAAAGATAAAATTTAAGAAAGTAAAAGATAAAATTCAAGAAAATAAAAGATGAAAATCTTTTAGAAAATAAAGGAGAGAATACTTCTTAACTTGTTTTATGTGGGCAACATATTCTAAATACTAAGACCTGGTAAAGGCATTACAAAAGATTAAAAATAACAGACTAATTCCACTCATGAACACAAACACAAAAGTACCCAATAAAATATTAGCAAACTGAATCCAGCAATGAGCTTATCTCAGGAATGAAAGACTGATATTTGAAAATATTTATAAATGTGATTTTCATTTTACATGCTAGTAATCAAACCCAAGGCCTCATACAGGCTAGGCAAACTCTGTACCACTGAGATACATCCTCAGTCTCAAAACAAGATTTTTTAAAAAATTAGGCAAATTGATGGAAAATAAATATTCATAAATATATAAGTTCTAGGAAGAATAAATGGAGAGTAACTCCATCAGATACCAAAACATAATAAAGATTAAAATAAAGCCATTTTTTTTATTTTAAAAAATAGATAAATGGGATAGAATTTAAAACCTATAGTCACAAATACACAAAGTAGAGTAATATATGACATAGCTTCATTTCAAATCATCGGGGGAAAGGTGAAATCTGAATAAATGATGCTGAAAAATCTAGCATACCAGCTGAAAAGGTGATTACATCTTTTCCTTGAAACAGGAAGTTTAGATTAAATATGTTTAAATGTGTCTAAAAATAAAATTATATAACCACTAGAAAAAACCTTGGAAATTTATTTTATGATTTCATTATGGAGAAAGTCATTCTTTAAAAGATACAAAGTTAGAAGCATTAAAATACTGACAAATTTGACACTTAAAGGTCACAAAAATAACATCATAAAGTTAAAAGAGACATGAAAAACTGGGAAAAAATATTTGCAATGTATCTTCAGAAAACAAATGAAGTTTTTTGATACATGAATAGCACTGACAAGTCATTAAGGAAAAAAATCAGTATCTTAATAGAGAAAAATAATGGGTTGTGGTATAAAAAAAGGCACAGAAAAATAAATAAAATTACTTTCTAACTAAAGAAAAACATGTTAGACTCCCTTCAAATTCTACTGACACAAATTTAAAAAAGAAGATAATTTTCATCATACACAATATTGGTTAGAATGTGTATCCAAGAATATTCCAAGGCTTTGTGGGAGCATCAATTGATATCACCTGTTTGGAAGGCAATTTGGCAATCTCTGTCAGTTAATATTCACATGACTTTGACCTAATAATTCCACTTTTGGAAATCCACATTACAAATCCTTTGCATATGTGTGCAAAAAATGTCCTATAGGCAAGAATATTTATAGCAGCATTGTTGGTAGTACTTGAGGTAAAAATAAATATTTATTTGTCAATGTGGTGCTGGATAAATAGGTTAGACTTAAAACATAATATGCTGCACTCTTAAACACTGAGATTGATCTACATAGGATTAGACAATTTGTCTTCAAGGTATGTCATTGGACATAGAGCATGAGACAGGACAGTTTATGACATGTGCTCCCCCTGGGTAAAATAACACACAATAAATAAGCACATATGGATAAATACTTTGATATATGTATAAATACCCATGTATATGCACAGAAAGGGTTTTGTTCTTTTATGTTTATAGACCATTTCTTTAAAAATAGACAAGAAACTGTTATCATTTGTGGTGAGAAGATTGGACTGAGGGTCTGGGGTAGAAATGAAAAGTCTTAATTAAACATCTTTTGTGATGTTCAAATATATTTTTCCAATGTATGTATTATTGAAAAATCTACCAGTTTTTTAAAAGTTTATAAACTAAAGGAATTAACCACTTCTTTGACTTGTGAAAAGAATAAATAAAAAGTAGATTTTCAATATGGTAAGCTTTGCATAAGAAAAACCACAATCACTTGATAAAGCTGTGTTTTTTCACCCATATCTTAAAAAAAAAAAAAAAATGACACTTGTCCTTATGGAGCTCACAGTTCAGTGGGAAGAACTCACATTCTATCTTAGAGGAAGACTGCTGTCCTCGGGCTTAAATCTAAAATGTTTAGCAAATGTGCTTCTTTCCAAGATCATACAGGAACGAACTTAGTTCAATGATCCTTCTTTGTAGAGCTCACTCATTCCCTCAATAACTATCAACATCTCGGAGACAGTTGATCTCCTGGTACTGAGCTTCCAGGGGAGACTCCCAAAAGAAAGAGCTATCAGCCATCTTGAGTTCTATCCACTGGGCTTTTCAAAATAATCTGAATTCCCAAACGTGTTACACATTTTCTTACTTCCAATCTTTTGACTATGTTCTTCCCTTTACTTAGAATGTTAATGCTGGTTCTTAGATTTTTAAAATTTTATTTGTTCTTTTTAGTTATATATGGCAGTAGAGTATATTTTAACGTACTTATACAAGCATGATATCATATTCTAATTAGGATCCCCGTCTTATGGGTGTGCATGATGTGGAGATTCACTGTAGCATATTCATATATACCTATAAGAGTCCTGTTAGAGTCATTCCACTGTCTTTTCTATTCCTATCCCCATCCCTTCCCTTCATCCCCCTTTGTCAAATCCAGTGAATTTCTATTCTCTCCCACTCCCAGCTTGTTATGTGTTAGCATCCACATATCAGAGAGAACATTTGACCTTTGGTTTTGGGGGATAGGCTTATTTCACTTAGCATGATAGTCTCCAGATCCATATATTTACCAGCAAATGTCATAAAGTAATTTTTATGGCTGATTAATATTCCATTGTCTATATATACCATATTTTATTTATCCAATTCATCTGTTGAAGGGGACCTAGGTTGGTTTCATAGCTTAGCTATCGTGAATTGAGTTGCTATAAACACTGATGTGGCTGCATTGCTGCACTATGCTGATTTTAACTCCCTTGGATATATACCTAGGAGTGGGTATAACTGGGTCAAATGGTGTTCACATTCCTAGTTTTCTGAGGAATCTCCATATTGCTTTCCATACTGGTTGCACCAATTTGCAGTCCCACCAGGAATGTATGAATGAAGTTTTTCCCCCACATCCTCGCCAACATTTGTTGTTGCTTGTATTCTTGATAATTGCCATTCTGACAAGGGTGAGATTCTTTTTCCCTGGCTAAATCCTACCTAAAAACAAATATTGGCTCAAGTGCTCCCCCAGAAAAGTAATTCTAACTATGGGCCCCATGGATTGGGTTAAAAACCTTTCTTCCTTGTTCTCACTGCTCTTCCTACCTTACAGTTAGCTATTTACTTGTCAGGTTCTCCTGTTAAAGTGCACATTTGCTTAAAGGGGCTGGGACAAGGAGACCTTTGGTGCCTGACATAGAGTAGGAACTCAATCATTTGATGGATTCAATTGCAGAATTTCACTATTTCCCTCAGTTCTCCCAGCATACACTACTGAATTGACTTTGTTACTGATTTTCCTGCCTGCCTCTCCCTACTGCACCCCTTCTCCAAATCTCAGACATCATACTTACTTGTCCAGTGAAATGGCAGGGAAGACAAACTTGCCCAGGCAAATACGATATACAGCACTCAGGGGAACCCGCTGCACCTGCACACAGCTGAGCATGATGAAGTCATATTTGCAGATCAAGAGTGTCTTGTCTGTGACCAGCAGAATTTTCTCCTTCTCATTGTTCCAGTGGTCTATCCTGCAGGGGTCATCACAGGGCAGAAAAGTTGATAACATGGCCTTCCCAAGTATAAGACAATGGCATTTGCTGAAACATCTAGCACAGAAGACAATGAGGTTGGATCATATTGGAGGGAAGAGGGACTGAGGAGTACCTAAGGTCAACTCCTCTCTCTCTCTCTCTCTCTCTCTCTCTCTCTCTCTCTCTCTCTCTGAACCCATGACTAATTGAAGAGGGAAGGTAGGCAATGTTTTATCATCACAGAACTCAAAGATGATTACCCATGGCAGAATCCATTAGAAGAATACCAAGTTTGCATCCTGTGGCATTGGACTGATGTATACATGTCCAAATCTTCTCTAGGAAGCCTTCATGGAGCACATCTTCCTCCGAGGACACCCCAAACAGCTCTTTATTCTAATTCACAAAATTTACTCACTAGTTTATGCTGATCTCCGACAGCCACATCACTATCTGGAGACTTAAACAGAGGCCAACATTATCTATAAAGCTCATATCCTTGTGGTAGAAATATAGCTGAACAAGTGAAGTGGGATTCTTCAAAATCAACACTAGATAAATATTTATTGATTTTATTTGCTTCAGAATTGAGAGTCCTTCAGGGCACACATGAGAAATTCTGAGAGTTAAGAAATCCTCCAAGAAAGAACAAGAAGGAATCAGAACAGTGGTTTCTGGTTAAAAAAAGTGAGCATTTCTGTAATTCCCCTGACCCACAGCACTTTTGCTGTCTGTTAGTCTTTAGGGTATCTTACTTTGTGACCTCTTAGAATTGTTTCAGCACATTTCATACTAAAAGACCATAAAGGTGTGTTGGCTCAACGGGAAGACCAACAGGAAGAAACATGAAAGAGCAATAGAGATGTAGAATACAGAAAGAGGGAAAATCCGCAGATGGAGGGAAAGAAGGATGAGATCACTAATTGAAGTCCTGGTGGATGGCAATCATTGAATATTTATAAGGGTCTCTCTACATCCATCCTGACCCTTTGAGGAAGGTTATATCCAAAGTCCCTCTGCTAAACTATGGTGCTAGACTTGGCACCCAGTGGAAAGAAACAGAATAGAACCCCATAGATCTGTTAAAATCTTGGCTCTTTGGATTCCACCCCCTCTAACACGCAGTGGTATTCAACTCCTACTCTACGGAGAGAAAGAGAAATCTTGATAGTCTGTTTAGCACTCTCAATCTTAGTCAGGAAGAGACGAGAATTCTGAAATGTCTTCTCAGAGATCTACATAAGCTTCTCTAAATAGATCGTATCTACTTAGCAGTACGTTATAAGCTGCTGCCTAATAAACCAGACTTGTTTTTAGTCTAAAATAACTGCTGCTTTTGGTTAAATGGTTTTACTGAAAATGTCAGCACTCCATAATGAGATTTATTTTAAAAGGTAAAGGATTCCGGGAAAAAAAGGGAGAATTCTTTTTAGGAACACACAGTGCTCTGCTGTGACATAGACTCTGCATAATTTACATGCCGGGAATGTCTGAATTCAAGTAAACACACGGGCTTATAAATAGTTTAGGGCCACCATCTCTAGCTCTTGGGTGGTATATTTATTTATTTAGACTTCAATCACACCTTTTTTCCCTAAAGCACTCATGCAGAAAACACTGAATTACATATTCCTGATATTAATACCCTTGAAGTTTGGATGGCAAGAATAACAATAAATAAAGAAATACAAATAACAATGATACATTGAGTTTGGGCAGCTCAAAGGTTTACAAAGTCCTTAAATAACCAAGCTTTCATTGAATCCCCATAATAACCCTTTAGAACTCACTGAATGTTACCACTCATTGTAAAGACAAAGGAACTGAAGCCCAAAGACCTTACAAATGACTTACCCAGGGTTTTATGAATAGGATGGGGATCTGACTCAGACACTGAGACAAGGGGCTTGCTTTCTCCCTAGTGCCATCACCTTCAAAAAGAAGCCCCTTTGGTGTGCTGTGCAAGTTTCTTAAACCCTGGGAGGACCAGATGTGATGATAGGTACCACTCTAGGAACTGTTCCCTCCAGCAACTCCTTCCTCAAAACATCACTCATGACTGTCCTATTCCAACCTTGTCCTCCTTTGGTGTTCCCTCTCTTGAGGAACAACCCTCTCTCCATCCAGGTGGGCAAGCTAGAGACTTTGGGGTTGTCCGTTGCTTGTCACATTTCCTCACCTCCTGTTCCAGTTCCTATTTTATTCCCAGAATGTCTCTCAAACCCCCCCCCCTTCCCTCCCTCTCCATTCCCATCACCCTGGCTTGTCTTCCATTACCTCCTGCCTACACCACTGCCCTTTATGCTCTCACTGTGCCTGGGATGCTCACCACCTGGACCTGGATCACCTACATCTGCTCTTGCCCCCTTCCAACCTCTGCATGCTACTGCAGGGAGGTGACTCTTCAGATAAAATAAATCTCCTCTCTACCTCCCCACCTTGGCTTTGCTCACCTCAGCTCTCTGTGGCTCTTATAAGAAATGACAAAAATTGTTAACCTGCTATGTATACAACCAGAGATATGAAAAAATGTGCTCTATATATGTAATAAGAATTGTGATGCATTCCGCTGTCATATATAAATTAAAAAAAATGTTAACTAAAATGTTCTGCAGTGTTAAGCCTCACCACTACTTCAATTTCATTTCTGGCCAAGTCTCTCTGCTCTCTTCTCCTTCAGCTCATTTCAATTTCTTGGTTTTCAACATGGCCCTTCAACTAAGGGGCCTTTGCACCTGCTTTTCCCTTTGCATGCAATGTTCTTGCTTATCTTCATCAACTAATTAACTCCTACAGAACTGAGCTCCACCACCACTTACTCCAGCACACCTTCCCAAACCTCTGTGTCCATTTCTATTCTTTCCGATATACACTTACACAGACCCTACATTTCCCTTTTATTATGGTACTTGTCCCAGGTGAAACTTTACAGTGATGTCTATGATTATATAATTCATGTCTCCTCTTCTATGCTGTAAACACTGCAAAGACAGAGTCAGATCTTCCTATTGTGTCTCCAAGGTTGTAGGTTTCCAAAAACAATATATTTATGAAATGAACTAGGGAAGAATGAACAATTTTTGCTCTGTGCAACCTTGGCTTGGCTCATGCTGCCTGGGGAATTCAATGCTTGGTTTTATACACTAGAATACTCCCCCATAAAGTAGCACAATTAAAAAGTAATCAGGGGGCTGGAGTTTGTGGCTCAGCGATAGAGCCCTTGCTTAGCACATGCAAGACACTGGGTTTGATTCTTAGCACCACGTAAAAATAAATAAATAAAATAAAGGTATTGTGTCCAACTACAACTAAGAAAAAACATTTTTTTAAAGAATCAGTAATGTTGATGACATAATAATGAGAAAGAGTAGGATACACATGCTACATACTGTATAGATGAAATTTTGTAACAATGGCAGCAAAATAATGTACACAGCCAATTTTGAGGTTGATTATTTTTGAGTGGTAGGATGTCAAATATTTATTTTAATGCTTTTCATGCTTTAATTTACCAAAATTGAATCCATTCTATAAGAAATATATTCTACCACTACAAAAAAAGAGATTTTCAAAAATAAAAATACTACCATCATTCAGGTTCACAGCACAAGTATTTCCTATCTTATAGAGTCTTACTCTCACCTTTCTCCTCTCTCTTCCTTTAAATACACACAAGCCTGTATCAGTGCCTCCCCTGGGGCCCTAGTCAGAATGTTCCCCATATTATAGTGATTTCTGTATCTATTCTACCTATTCCCTTTACACACATTAAATGGGAATCCATCTAGCGTATAATCCATTTATTTTCATATCTGGGTCTCTTACCTGTGCCTAACCAAAGCCAAAAAGAGAATAGGGACTCAGCACATAGGCAAGGAATGGAATGAAAAGTAGAACCATAAGATCTATCCCCTCTGTTCTGAGAGCCAATGTTTCCTGCAAAGGATTTTTCACCACTTTTTGTTTGTCATTGCTGTTCCTCAGCACAAGCACCCCTGCCATACATGATGGGAAGGAGCCTAGATTCCAGGTTAGAAGAGGGTACCTGAGGAGCTCAGTGCCTGCAGTTTCCTAGGATGATAACAGATTCACCAGCAGAGGGCAACAGCGAACTAGCAATGACAAGCTGGACCCATCCTGTAAATTTCCAGGGACTACCACCCAGTTGTTCAAATTATCCCAGATGCCTCCCTAGAAGCCCCAGCCTCACACCAAGAGTACTTTCAGTTGCTTTTTAAAAAGATTGTGCCAAATCAGTTTGTGGTTTTAAAATGATTTCCTTCCCTGAAAGATTTTCTTCTAATAATATTCTCTCAATATCTTCCTTCTCCTATTTCTCTCTCTCTCTTTCTCTCTCTCTCTCTCTCTCTCTCTCTCTCTCTCTCTCTCTCTCTCACACACACACACACACACACACACACACACACACACCACTCAGCAATGATATCTTTCCTGATACTGAATGCAGTGACTATCTGTGATTTGCATTATCAATCTTTGAGCACGCCCCAAGCCTCTTAGGATGTCCAGGTCTTGGAGTATAAGATAGTGTGTTGGCTAGCCAGGAATCAGCATCCCAGGAGGAAAACACTGACTCATTCATTACACACATTTCCCCTGAGCATCCATTGCGTTCCAGACCCTGAAGAGAATCCAATTCGGGTTTGCTCTTCAAACACAAACTGAAGAAAAATGCATGGCATTAGAGCAAAGCAATTTCCCTACCCCTGAGTTAAGTGGAGTCTTGTAAAACCTTTAGCTAAATAATCCACATACATTTCTTTCACTTGTTTGGTTACTCTTTCCTAGGGCCTCTCCAATTTGTTTAAAATAGGAGACCCTCAAAGTAAACTGTATTCCAATAAAAATGTTATGCCACAAACCTTCCTTGTTCACAGTTCTCCTAGGCTGGCTTCCTATGATGTGTTATTTTCTCCCTGCTCCCCTGTGCTCCAGTCATGGACCAGGCTTTGTGCTCTTTATAGGGAATACTGAGA